TACAGATGTTACCTGTGTAGTGTAGTGAACACAGTGGTTAACTGTAATTTGCTCTTAAATCGAGAAGATTTTGCAGAATTTCTTCCAGAAATGGTACCGTTTGAAAGATGGCAGAAGATGTGGCACCCTAACGTAAGTGTTGTAAGTCTGTTCTATTTCGTTCGTAGGTAGATGTGTATTTTTTGGTAGGACACTCGTCTCCCTGATGATCGAGCAGCAATGAACTCTGAAACGTTTGTGAACTTCTAACAGACTACACGGCACAACACAGAAGACAGCCATCTTCGTGTATTTCTTGGTTTAACAACTGTGTATTTACTTAGCGTTAGATTATAAGACTTTTATTAGAGGGAATTGTTGGTAATGACGAATGAAAAACATGTTGATCCGTGTGAAAGTTTGTGCCTCGAGAAACCTCAGACCGGACCGACGTCACCTCCGATGTAAACATCCTAAATCCAAGTCAGTAAGTAGACCCTGATTTTCCGTAGTAGGTTAATCGACGATCATGTATCGATAGCAGTCTTTATAGTGTTTAGTGAGACGAGACGATTTTAATCTGTGTATATTGAATTAGGAAGGATCGATCGATAATCGCGGTCGTTGTTTCGTACTCCAGCATTGTATTCGAGAGGTCCCGGGTTCAAATCTTGATTCGGAGACTGGTTATTCTGATTAGGTTTTCCTCGGACAACGCAAATACCAGGATAGTGCATTAAATTAGACAACATCCGTTTCCGTCTGCTTCCTTTCAGATTCATAATTCATGAACTGTCCTACTTTCGACGCTGCCCAGAGAGGTTATTCAATGGCTTCGTGTTTTTTGTTATGCAGTCCCGCACAGCATACTGCTGAGCCTCTTTCAAGCGCTTGATATGGAAATACAGCTTAACCGCAACGTGTGCAGTGTATCGGCCGACTGAAAGCCGGTTTGATTGTATTCAGCCTTTGTAAAACACTGTAATACAGTAGAGTCACGTTCAGAAATTAAGATGTGGCTTAGGATGGAGAGAAAAGACAGAAAGGAAGTTGCCAAGAACACGTTTTACGAAACAAAGACAGATGCTTATAAGAAAAAAAAAAAATAAAAAATAGGTGTTAGTATATAATAAATAAATAGCTTGTGTGTAAATGAACCTGACCTATGGAAACTCCGGACATTCTAAATCTCGTGTCCATTTTCCGTTCCAAAGATTCCGTGCAAGTCAAAGACTATAACATTTCATAACTTCCTACTCATTACGGTATGGATTCTTTTCCACCGCCCAACTCTTGAACTGGATGACCATTCCTTATCAGCTGTCCATGACTGCCTACACCTTTAAATGTCAGTGGTAACTATACGTACCACGAGAATGGTATTCTCAGAATAACCAGCGATAATTTTTCTGAACAACATTAACGAATTGATCTTTGTAATGGAGAACTGTTGTTTTTTCTTTGAGGTAAGAACTTACTTAGACGAGCTTGGGATTCAAGATATTAATGCAGAGTGATAAAAAGTTCGAGCAGCCCAAATTGAAATATTTATTAATGGTCGCAGTTCAACTCATTTCAGCGCGGTTAATACACACTCTTCTCGTTGTGACTGCACAAGAACCTACGCAGGTCGTAGGTCACGTCGTGTTGTGCCCTGCTCGCGCCAGTCTGTCATTTTCCAGCCGAAGTGCAACGAGAGTGTTCATTGCAGAACACTACGTGGCGTATCATTCTTCATTAACTTTCCAGAATGAGTTCAGGGATACATTTCCCGATTATCCCGTGCCATACAAATCGGCAGTATCTCGTCTGATGACCAGTTTCTGGTTACTGCAGAAACTCTTCACCTGGTTGAATCAAACATGAGGAACGCGATGGACATTTCCGACACTAAATATAACTTTTTTGTTTTATGGTTTTAATATAATTCACTTTTTTGACAAATAGTACGTGTTGGGAATGGGTTGTGTGATTTTCTTTCAATCGATATATTCGCATCCGTGTCGTCTGCATCCGCGACCCGAGGACGCGCCTTTACGTGACGAGGTTCGTACACTACCAACACCAATAATAATTCATTTCAATTCAATTTATTTATTAAAGTGTTTGCCAACAACGAGGAGCCAATGACATGAAAACACTGATAATACATACATATACAAAAAACAAAAACAAAAAAGAAACAAAATTAAATATATAAATGAATATACAGTAGATTCCGGTTAATTTGGGGAAGCCGTTTATTTGTGACAAATCTTAAATAATAAACATTTTTAACTCTTTACGTGGAACTTCGCATAATTGGGCCAAAGTGTTCTGGTCCCGATGTGTCCCAATTAACCGGAATCCACTGTACAATATATATATATATATATATATATATATGTGTGTGTGTGTGTACAATAGATCAATAAAACATTTCCCGTATTGAGTAATTTCGGGTTTTCCGACCCAACAGGTTTAGCGATTTAGGTGTGAAAATGTTCAGTTTGATGTAGGCCTAAGCTTACATAATTAACCCCATACAACAAAGTCCCTGACTAGTGGAGAAATTTCCCACCATTTATAGAAACCGAAGATTCATTACCGTGTACACAAGGTCCGGACACAAGATCCCCTACTCAGCTAGATTAATCCAGCCGACATCCACGCCCCCTATTTCTTTAAGATCGATTTATCCTCCAGTCTATGCCTAGATATCTCAAGCGGTGTTTTCAGGTTTTCCTGTCAAAATTTTGTATGCTTTCTTATCTTTCCCATGTGTACTACATGCCCGGTCCATCTCACTCTCCTTGATCTGATCAGCCTAATCAGATTAAAGATCAAGTTCGACACCCATACAAAAGAATGTTTAAAATTATAGCTTTGTATATTTTGGTGGTTTGGTTTTCAGATCGCAGGAGGGATAACAAGGAATTCTGAACTGAAAGGCAGCAGGTATTTCCCGAATTTAGTTCGCTGTTAAGTTCTTCGTGACCGCAAATTTAATTTCTTAGTGCAATTAAAAGTATTTGAATTTTGCCACAGTTCCGAAGGATTTAACTTGAAGCACGTAATATCTACCAGATATGCTGTATAGAAGGATTTGGCTTCACGCTTACTTGACTGCGGTTACTATGTTGACAGAACAAATTACGGTACATGTACTTTGCTGCATAGGGTCGTAAATCCTTTTATTGGAAAATCGTAGAAGCATGAGATAGCCTATTTATAACCTCAATTTGTTAAGTATATACGTTGTATGTCAATTATATTTTGTGGAGTTTTTATTTGATTTCCAATTCTTTTGTACGATAAGCCGTTTTTGTATAACTTGATATGTCTTAGCTTTATGTAAAATGATGATTTACATTGAACCGATTTTGATTATAGTTAAATGTGGTTTTAGTGAAGGTAACCAGATTTTTCGAAATGATCACGAAGGAAGGCCTATTATTCATTTATCTGAACTTCGTACAGAGGACGTATATGAATTAAATACTAATTTATACAGAATGCTTTCAAAAATATTCCGGCAGTCTTGGCAATAGCCCGTAGATTTCTTGAGCCAGAGTTGCCCCAGTTAGAATAATTTTTAATCTTAAGAGAATTAATTTCGGGATGTACACAGCATTGAGAGGGCTCTAGCTACAAACGTGTGAAACTTTTCGTCGCTATCGGCACCGCGTGGTTCTGTAAGGGGGGCTTCATGTTCGCAAGATTTCTGCTGTGACACTCGTAACTCTGTCAAATATCGATTAGACACATTGCCAGCGATCAATTCTGTATCGAGGAAGTACAGTCTCTTAGTCATACAGTTGCTTTCAATCGATGTTTTATGAATAAGAAGTTTCGATTTCAAATGTCACTATAATAATGTATATTGCTCTGGAATATTGGTGTGGTTTGTCTTTTAGATAAACGCAATGCTTTTACGTAATTCTTGAAGATCCATCTTTACCATAGAAACATCATGATACAGTTTAAAAATATATTAATAATATTGGTTGGCGGCATTTGGTATACGCTATATACCGTGCAATTTATTTAAGTAATTATGATCGGGGTATTTAATGCGGAATAGGCTGGTTATCGGACATCCCGATATATGCCTGTAAGCCACTGTCTATCCATTAAATAAGTTGTACTGGTTCGAACTTCGGACGCGGGAAGAGAGAGCCAGAACATTTCCAAATTCGTTAACCCTGTGAAGACTGGCAATTTTTAATCCGTACCAGAATACACACGTACTGTTCCATTGTTAGGTGCACAGAACACATCAGTCTTTGTTCTGTAATTCCTAGCAGAAGATTTTGTGGCTATAAAATTTTAGCTATAAAACAACCAGAATTTTTACAGTTTTTAAGCTGCTGTTGATGGTTTGTTGGTGGCTGTCTTCTGGGTTGTAGCGCCGTGTTGTCTGGTAGAAGTTTACAACCGTTTCAGATGTCCTTACTGCTTCCATCATCAGGCAGTAATGACCTCTGAAACGTTGGAAAACTTATACTAGACTATACGTACGGTGCTACAACTCAGAGGACAGCCGTCTTTGGACTCACCGCCATGACAACAAATCCTATTTGATATTTTGTAGTTATCCTCATTTTGTCTACATGAATGCAGGGTTATATTTTAGATTATTTCTTTGTTTCTGACTTCCAGATTTAAATTTTGCACGATCTTCTCTGCAAGTCTTGCAAATTAAATGGGAACAAATAAAACAAACTTAGAAAATGATACTGACCTAAGCAAAACCTTAGAGAAATAAAAAATGCACACAAAATATTGGCTGGAGAACCAGATGGTTAGATATACTAGATCTTAGGGAGGAAGGGTTGGAAGTTGTGAACTGGATTTATCTGGATTGGGACCAGTGGTAATCTATTGTGGACACGGTAATGAACCACTGGGCCCATTAAAAATCTGGGAATTTCTTGTCTAAGTGACTGTTAGTTTCTCTAAAAGGATTTTGCTTCATGGAATTCGGTGTATTATTCACATGTTCAGTGCTGCAGGTAACTGATAAAACATTCTGGTTTCAGCAGCCTACGTGGAGACTGTGGGGTGAGGAACGGGTGGACGGAGCGATTTATACGGTCTACCTCAAGAAGGTGCGATACCATCGGCCCACCAAGAGTGTCTCATCTGTAAGTTGCCTATAAAGAAAACGTTCACATGGTTTAAGCTTGGTTAATAGTGTCTTGGGATAATATCGAATCACGTATTTTATCCAGTGGAGTACTGTCTGTTACTCAGGAGAAAGGCTTTGACCTTAGCAATGAGGATGAACATTAAAAATTAAAATTAAATTAAATCCGTGGCGTAACAGCTCCAGAGAGCCAAAGCCGACTAGCTGGCTGCTGGCCTCACGTTCACATGCCTAAGCAGAGGTGAATGATCATCCAACCAGATACAGAGTGACGTGTGGTCAGCACGACGAACCCCCAGCCATTGCTAGTTTTCATGACCGGATTACGCTACTCATTGTAGCTCCCCAATTTCCTCACGATGCTGGATTGGCACCTTTCGAAAATCTCATGAGAAATTTCTTTCCCCGAGACTCGAACCAGCGCGCGTTCCGTATCGCCGGTCCGAAGCATGATGCCTCAGGCCGCGCGGATGCCGAGAGGAAATTTGGACTATGTCAAAAATATAAGGATTTAACTCTGCAAAATGGAGTGTTTTAACAAATACTGTGTTACAACTGACAAATTTCTAGCCACAGACTGACACTGCCAAGATCAAAGCTTTTCTCCTGACTAATAACCATTATACATTTGCAAAATGTGTGCTTTATAATTTGTGTTTCTAAGCGGATTACATAAAAAGCAGGGAATTTCTGGATGAGCTGTGCACATACTAGCTTTTTCTGTCTTTTGGAGTTAATTTGTTATGTGTTATTTTTGAGATAATGACCGTCAGATATGATAAGTGGTAGCCTGTGTACATTGCCAATTTTGTTCTCAGCTGTTGCGATTGAATTCCTTTGTTGCACAAGCACACGAAACAACATAGTCCAGATAAAATTAGAAATGTTGGCAAGTACAAGATTTCATTGACCTTTACACTTGATTATCACAGCCATTTACCGTGATTATTTTCAGAAGACACGCAGTTAACTTTTGTTAAGGGAGTATTATAGGAGACGATTTAAAATAATGATAATCTTAATAATGCGAATTACAGCACGGTATTTCAGAAAAAGTGACTTCGGTAATCTGAAGACATTTTGCACACTGAGTGCATTATGATTTACTGGTTCTTTCAGCAAGGCCACTGAAATGTGTTGTGGCTTGTTGTTCCTTCCTCTTATCACCGCCATCTTCATCTTCATTATCATTACCGTGATCAACAACAAACCTTCAGTGTACAGTGTAATGGTTTCTGTCCATTTAATCTGAAAACATTTGATTGGGCTTATGAATGGAACTGTTGGCACTCGTGTTTTATATTTATATCTCAGGTTGGAGATCAGCTGCATTGATTGACTGATTAAAAGACTTTTTTGTGTTTTTCCTCAGTCCTTTCAGCCGAATAGGTAGTGAACACTTCCATGCACCATTTATGATTTGTCTTTTACAATAATCCTACCTTAATTCATTTGAAGTTTCATAACCTTAGCAATTGAAAGGTTGTTGTAAAATAACCAATCTTTATATTTCATTAGATATGAGTCATTCTAAACAAGCAGTGAAGTACAACACTGTTGAGAGTTCGTAAGAGAAGTGTGTGTTAAATGTCAAATGACTATATCTGGTTGGATGATCGTTCACCTCTGCTTAGGCATGTGAACTTGAGGCCAGAAGCCAGCTAGTTGGCTTTGGCTCTCAGAGGGCTGTTACGCCACGGATTTAATTTTAAATATATTTCTTTCTGTACTGTGTAACCTCTGCAGTTGATACAGTGTATGATCGTCTAACAACTAGTTAATAAGGTCAAGTCTAGCGAGTCCATTGGTCCACTAGACACAGAAATCTGCTGAGTCAGAATTTCTCAGGTTCTTTCACTTTCAGCTTCCATTGTGTCTTTCACTAACTGGTGCCAATTAAGGCCACTTTCAGATACAGAAAAGATAAAAAATTGGAAGAATGAATGTGACTTGGGGGGTGGGGGTGTATGGCAGGAAGGAGGGAATGAATTGGTTGGTCAGGCAAGTAAGATTTTCAGTAAATATTTATTTATTCAAAAAGAATGTGAATGTAAAGATGAAATGAAAATTAAGTACCATAACCAAAAACATGAAATACAAATAAATAAATGCATAAAGTAAATAAATGAACAAAAATAAAGTTAATAAAAACTGTTGAATAGCAAATATGATAATATTATAAATAAAATGTTTACATAAAACACAAATAGTAATTAGAAATTAAATGTAGAGTAAAAATTAGATTGAGTATGAAACATGTAAACTTAAGATTAAACAAATGAACAAATAAATAAATAGTGTGTTTATGAAATTAAGAGAGCAATACATACTTAGATAAACAAACACACAACAGACTAATAGGAAATGCATTTTTATTGCATGTGTTCTTGCTCCTATGATTCATTGCAGTGACAGGAGAGATACATATCGGACATCTGGTTATGTCGATAAAACAGTTCCCATTATTCACTTATCTCTGAGATTATCTTGTGTTAGTAGATTGTTCTTTATAATCTCTCAGTGGAATATATGTGAGTAATGAGTGACTGGTGATGTTGCAGGACTCTGATGATGAGATCTCACATCTGGAGTGGGAAACCGTCCGTGTGAGATTTGTGAAAGCGGGCACTCTAGAGAAACTTGTGGAAAGCCTTGCAACAGATGATGGTGAATTGGAATCAACATATATTAATGTGTTCCTCACTACATACCGCACTTTTGCAACTGCCAAGCAAGTCTTGATGCTGCTCCTTGACAGGTGGATGGAAAACCTCTTTATGCTCTACATTGTCAGTTTTCATAATGACTAAATTCTATGAATTTTTCTTAGGTGGTTAGTTGCATCAATATACAATAAATATCTAACATCTCAGTCCGTCTCTGTCTGTATCATCAGGAACTGATATGGTAAATTGAAAGTTTATTGAAAGCTGGGCAACTGCTTGTCGTCACTTGGAGCTGTGTTCAGGCTAAAAATCCTTCAGCTTGGTGAGTTGTGAGATTCCACCCACTGCTCTTCCATTGCCAGTTGTCCGGACAGCAAAGATTGGTCTCTGCGAGGCCTGCATTTATGTATATATGTTGCGTCACACACATCATTTTCTGATGAAAGAGACAGATACCATCTCTGGAATTTTTTTTGTTTTTTTGTTTTTGTGTGTTTATGTAATTGATCTAGAGACCATTTTAGCATGATTAAAATGCCATATGGCTTATATGCCACAGAAGTAAGTGCTTGGAGTTAGAGAGAAGAATAATGAAATTTCCAGTAAAATGTAACTGAGGTGATGGATGGTTCAGAGCTTAGGAGTTTGATGTCAGTCTCAACATTAAGCCACTTTACCTTAAGAACAGTGTGTTTAACTGCACTTCAGACAAGTGATATTTAGCATGGGTAGCTACCAGGATTCTGTATATTCCACTGCAATAAAATGTGCCCTAGGTAATGCTGATTTAAAAAATTAATGCTGTCCACTGCCGATTGTCTGAAATTCGAGTGTGATACTGTGTCTGTACCATTCATTATACTTATTGATATGTGATACTAAAGCAAATAAATTGGTATTATGCATTTAACTGTCTTTTAAAATTTAACACTTCTCTCTACTATGTTGTCTGTTTGCTGCAGGTATGAACAGCTGGCCAATGACAAGCTGGACTTACCCGAGATGGTCATGGAGCAGCATCGAAAGTAAGTAAATGACCCTATGACAGGTTCTGAAACTTTTGGAAGCTGCAAAGAATAGTTCAGGATGTTTTTCTAGAATTAAATGTGGAAGTGTGCAGTGACAAATTGTTGCTTGTGCCACTTTAATCCTTGGCACCCAGAAAATGTTGAGTGTTTCTCATCTAATCACCATAACAATGAACATGTTCCCATTTTGCTGTTTGCCTACTGTTTATCGTGTATCACAAAACTAATGAAAGCAACAGAACAAGCATGCAAATCCCTGTTCTTTTATAAAGAATTTGATGTGTGACACTTGGAGCTCGACTGTGTAGTTCAGCAGATGGAATATGTTGTAACTTCACAAGATGGCTTGTATAAACTGTTTAATGATGGAAATGTTGCACCAAGTGAGTCCTTACAAATGACTTTATGAGGGAAAGCACAAAGAGAAGTGGTATGTTTCTATTTTAGAAAAAATTATTTAGTTTTTTCCAGTGTAATAGTTGAAATGCTGTTACATCAGCTTTTGTTCCTATTCGAAAGTTATGGAAATGTGAGAAACCAAACAAGAATTACAGTTTCACAGACATCAGGCAGATGTCTGGAAGGAGAGAATGGGGACATAAGTGAGAAATTCTTGTAGACAATTATTATTAGATAAATTAATGGAGCAGTTAGCATGGTGATAACACAAAGATCAGAAGACTATTCTGAATGATTTTTTGTGGCCTGCAGTTCCTGAAATAAAATTTAAATTTTGTTCTTGCCAGTCATTTTGATTTCTCTTTCACTCAGAATTTTTGGAATGGGTAAATTGAATATTATGCTGTTGGCAGCACTGTTGTAGATGTCTGCTTTGCTGACAAACTTGACACATGAACACCTTAGGAGACGCTATGTGTTCATGAGAGGAATTAGAAGTATAGCAAACCAGTTGGCTCTTGTAACAGGCTTATGCTTAAATTAATTTGTTGAAAGTTGATTCAACTGTAATGGTTAATAATGGCCACACAATGATAAACCAAACACATTTATAACTGAAATTAAATTTTGGTAGTGAAATTTCCTCCATGCCAGATGCAAGTGTTTTGCTTTAAAGAAGCAATAAATGAAAGAGACAGAGTGAGAGGGGAGGAAAGTGAAAGTAGGGTAAAGTGGCTGCTCTGAAGGTGAATGTGATTTCTCTAAAATATTTTAAGCTTCTTTTGATAACCAGTCAAGAAACTGTAATGTATGAACAGGCATTAATTTATGACTTTTAATTGCCAACTGCTAGTCACTATGTGGAAGTAACAAACACAAGAATAAAAGTAACTGTCAGTAACAAGTAATTGTCACAATAGTAAAGAAGTTCAAAATTAAATGCGCGTATTAACCGATATAATTTTATCACTTATTAGTTTTAAGGCTGTTATGCATAGCTGTGACCAACTTCCTATGTATTAGAGATTATTTACTGTATTATTAGTGAAGAATTATTTACATTATGCATTATTCTTGCCAGTAATTTGCAGTTGAAATATCTGAACTGAATGATGCTCTTTTGAAGGACGTTAGTGTTGGCGCTGCATGTGTGGCTAGATTCCTACCCTGAAGACTTTCGTGCACCCCCTACACATCCCACACTCCACCAGCTGCTCTATTTCTGCCGTCAGCATCTGCCTGAATCTGAGATTGAGGTGAAGGTACGACATCGGCTGGACAGGTTCAGCAAGGAAGACCAGATGTTGGGTGAGCAAGAATGACTAGGATATTCTTTGTAAACAGTTTTCTTTAATTAAAACTTATAATCTCACCTACTTTCGAAATATCAAGCTATTTTACTTACTCTTTGCCTGTGGAAGTATTATATTCATCGCATATTAAATATTTCAGAATCAAAATGCTCAACAAAAATTTAGATGAAAAAAGATTACATAATCAGGGAATGTGGAGAATTAAATAACAAGGAACTTTGTGATTTATTATCTTTTCTTAATATTGTTATGTTAGTTAACATCATATGGGATGAGGGAATTTAAATCCGCTTACTATGATGCTGCTAACGAGACTACAGAGTTGGCAGTGTAGCGTTTGCTGCTGTGGCACACAGCCAGTAGGAAATAAGCTGTGACACATGATTGATACAGATTGTGTAGTACCAGACCCCTTACCCACAGCATGGGACCTAAGGCATCTCACATTTTAGGATTTTCTTGATTTTGGATCTTTATGCAGAGAAATTTTAATATAGACAAAATAAATAATAAAAATGTTTGTGCTGAAGTATGCTGCTGACTAAACAAGTGGAAACAAGCAAGCTACTTTCTGCTAACAGTAAGGAGATCACTTGCACATGGTGATGAGTAGAACCATCATTTTTAAACGTGAAAAGGATGCTGCTGTAAAAAATCACAGAAAAATACGGAGTTTAGGTCTTTCTGGATTTTGATGTGTTGAGTTAGGCACTGTATTAGAAGTATGTTTCATTGAATATGTACCTCACATATGAGAGACAAGAGACAGGTACACAATTTTTGTGGTGAAAACTGTTTGAATATGGCTATATATGGGGGCTGTGATGATAACTAATCTTAAGGGAAACATGCTTTTGTAATATGGATTAGATTGAGATGGTTGAGGACAGAAACTAATGTTGAGGATTTGTTAGCTGTGTTGAATCTTAAGATTATGACAGTAAAGAGTCGGTTTATGATTAATCTCTAGTCAGGTACAGTGTAGTATATGTTGGTTATTATATTCTAGATTCTTGTCTGATGTATTCAAATTCAAGTCTGCCAAACTTCAGTCCTCCAGCACTGGCTAACGGACACTCTGCCGTAGCTGTGCCATCTCCATACCTGTTTCCTGATGTGCCAGAGTGCCACTTTGCAGAACAGCTCACCAGGATGGACATGGTGAGAATGAATAGGCATATAGATACTCATTGAGATTTCAGTTTCAATACAATGAACGTGTGTGTTATATTTCATTTTTGCATGACATTTCACTACAAAAGAAGTCTTTACTGTGTGGTCTAGTTATCTGATGATTGACTTACTAGTCTGGTATTCTAAAGGTCCTGGGTTCAATCCTGACTATTGTGACTAGCATTTCAGGGGAAAGAAAGTATCAGTATAGTGATAACCAATCATCTGACAATGGTAATACAGCCATCTCTTGAAACATTCTGTATGTCTGTTCTTGTACGAAACTCACATGGAAATCTACTGAACTGGAAGAATAAGTGATGTAGGGGTATCATGATTGTGTGGAGGCCCTATATGAGGTAGATTAATAGATACGGTATGGCGCAAATGACCCAATATAAAGTAACCCTAAATATTTTATTATCTCGGTCATTTCCATACTGTGAAGTCACACTTGCAGGATATGTTGAAGGTGAGAGCCAGTGCACTAAAAGTGCACATAAAATTGTTGGCCAAGATTTTCAAGCATTTTAAATAATAATGTGAGTGATGTTCAGCACATACACAGTATTTTCCAGTTGATTGTGTAAATTATGACATTCATTATCTACTGGAACTTCACACTGTCATCACCTACTGGCGTTTCCACCATGGTGGTCCCTCCTGTAATGAATCCTTCCTTACTCTTCGTTTTCTTTACATAATTTCTGCCTTTATATTCATGTCCATTCTTCTCCTACTTTAATTTGTACATCTTTCCTCGCTTGATATCTCCAACTTGTCCTTCGTCTTCCAGAAGCTTTCAAAGCAGTCATTTTATCATCCATACACAATGCATGCCCACTGTAATGTACTTGTTAGTCTTTAGTAACACATTATTTCCACTTTAAGATTCTTTATAATATTCGGTTTTTTGGTTTTATTCACATTTGGTTCTTAGTGCTTCAAAGAAACTTTATTTGTACTCTGTACTAATGAGATGATAATGAATGCAAGACTGTAAGTGTAAAACATGATGACTGTTGGACTATAATAAATTTTTTTAAGTAAACCACATTGTAAAGACAGGAAATAAGTACAGTAGGTATTTTTATGTAAGTTTAACAGGTTTTGTGGCCACACACCTGACAGTTATGTAATAAAGGATTTTGTTGATTATCTAATACCTTGTAAAAGGTTAGTTTATAAGAAGGTGCTGGATCTCAAAAGAATTTACATTTTAATATCAAGATGAGACCTAAATGCTCTCCTGTCTTCTGACAGTTTCTTAAATCATGTTCGTAAATGAAAGATCTGATTGTAGTAAGCCAATAATAACAAGTTTTTGCCATTGCATTACGTATGATCTGAGTCTTTTGTCTAATATCTTATCACATTATCTTTATATGTTCCTGATTTTACCATATGTCCCTGAAAAACTTTCTACTGTCTTCACACAATTTTTCATGTTTTATTTGTCTCCAGACTATGTACACTTTCTCCATAACTGTCTCATGCCATCTTATTTTTTACCACCCAGTATGTTGTCATAGTTTTATTTATGTCTGGATTGTTGGGTTGTCCATCATTTGATGTTAGAAAAAAAAAACAATGTTTTCAGGACTGGTTCTGTCATTATCTTAGAGTGCACTGAGGAGGTCACCTGTTCTGTGGGTTCCATTAGAATGAGCTAATCCCATCGATCTACATTGTATTATACCATCAGAATCATTTTCATTTTTATATTTAAAACAATTCTTTGTGTTCTGTTTTTCAAACAAGATGGCTAAATTACTTCATTTCTGAATTTTTTTTTTTTTAAATCTTATTGCCTTATTCTGGTTGTCCTGATGGCACATCATGGCAGCCTGCTATCTGAATGAGTCTTGCCTTGATCCATGTCCTTGTTCATTCTCTGTGTGATAGTATTGGTGTGAAATAGCTTTAAAACAGTGATTTTTTGTTTCAGTGATATTCTTAATTTCTTATATATCTTTTATTGCTTTGCAAAATATTCAGTCTCTCCACTTGAGGCTTTCTGACTAAGGTTTTTTATTGTATTCTTCTATCTTCCATGTTTTCTTGAGTATAAATAATTTTGCTTCTCAGATAAAGGATTCCAGTTTTTCAACTGAACAGTCCTTACATCTGTTTTTATTAATTAATTTTCTTCCATGTATTATCTCGTAATGCCATGAACCATTTATTGGTATGCAGGCATTATTCAAGAAGTTGGTGCCACACCAGTGTCTGGGTGCTATATGGTCCCGTCGTGACAAGAACCGAAGTCATGAGGCAGCTACTGTGCTGGCAACAGTGAACCAGTTTAATGCAGTCTCTCTTCGTGTGATCAGCACTGTACTCATGGATCCTGATATTCGGCCCAGTGAACGAGCTCGAGTCATCACCACATGGATCGACATAGCACAGGTACACCACATATCTAGAGGAAAGCCATTGTCAGGTAGCTTATGTAAAATTTATTTAACTGTGTGCTATTTCCTGATAATGGGGAGCTATACACTTTGCACTCTTCACATAATTTTGTTAGGGTATTTAAACTAATGTACATGAAGAACACAAGAATGTTTTGAAACATAAACTTAAAGGCACAAGACCACTTGGGAGACCTACATTTAGATGAGAGGATAATATTGAAATGGATCTTGGAAAAGTAAGAGAGTGGAGGTTTGAACTGAATTCATGTGGATCAGGATGACAGTCTTTAATGATAATAGTGATGAACTTTTAGTTTCATAAGAACTGTGAGAAATTGACTGTAATGTATGTGTAATGCCCAGCACAGGGACTGATGGAGAGCTTTAGTTAATGTGTGTGTAATACAACGTTCAAACAAATGAACACTACCATAGAATTAGTATCAATATTTTGTTTGTAACTTAATTTAATAAAAATAATTATTTGTGAATGCAGTCACTGGAAGTGATTCTGATTTCCAGGAGTTACGGGTGTTGAAGAATTTCTCATCTCTCAAAGCAATTATTTCGGGTCTGCAATCAAACCCAGTCTACAGGTTACAGAGGACATGGCAGGCCATGCCACGAGAGAAGGTGAGATTTATATTTGCAGGCTACTGAAACTCGTGCTAGCCACTGGACCCGATGTTTGCAGGTTCAAACTTGGCTGAGGTCAATGGATTTTTAAGTGTGATAAAAATCCTTAGCATGACTTCCTTTGGAGCGGTTCCGTGTAGTTTTATGGCATGTAAAAGAACCTTACGGCGATGAACGAGATGTTTCATAAGCAAAATTCTGTGGCAATTTCTCACCCACGTCTCTTCTGATTTGCTACTTGATGGCTCTAGCAGACAAATCAGAAATGAGTAGAGAAATTGTGTGGAAGCAGCACACTTGAAGAAGAAGTATGGGTAATGTAGCAGTTATGGGAGAAGTAAGAAATGCACACAATATTTTGGTCAGAAGGGCTGAGGAAAGATACCACTTATTGAAAGATATAATTATATATGTGAGGATAATATCAAAATGGATGTTAGAGATACAGAGTGGCAGCTGAATTCAGTTGGCTCATGATAAGCGCCTAGTAGCAGGTAACATGAAAATGAACCTTTGGGTACCCATGAAAGCAGGACATTTCTTCACAAATTGAGTCACTGTCAACAGCTGAAGAAAGATACTGTAGTATAGAATTAGTTATGATTGGAATGTATATGTTGAGGTGTTTCATCTGATATACACATGACCATATGAATTAAATTACCATATTTCCATGATTTTAAGATGCCCTCATTTGTAAAACACACATTTGATTCAGTAATAAGACTTCAGAAAAAAAAGGCACTATATTGATTGGATGCCATCAACTGTAAGATGTTCCTTGATTTCAGAAATTTTAAAATGTGGAAAAAGTGTCTTAAATTTGAGGAAAATGGTATGATGCAAAAGTTATTTATTTGTCATTCTCTTGAATCAAGGACATGTAGTAAGGTTGTGTCCTTTCACACTTTGTAGCTTTTTGTACAGATATTTTATATGAGACATTTATCTTGTTTTGTTTGTCTTTCCTGATACTTTCATTGTTAATATATGCGAATACTAAATAAAAATGACATTTGAAATTGCATTAAGGGGAAAATTAAGTTTTTGAAATAATTAATATTAGTCATTTAACATCTTTTATATTGTGAAATTTCATGTTCTCACAACTGTGAGTATGAAGATGAATGTCTTCTGAGTTTTATGATCTGAAGCTTTCACAGCGACCAAGCATAATGAATTCTTCTCGGGCTACCAGCAGTGTAAGGTAGTTTAATGAAGAAAAAACCAACGTTTTGAGAACCATCTTTGTCTTTGTCGTTGTCTGTAGGGTACCCTGAGGATGAAGATGGTTCTCAAAATGTTGGTGTTTTCTTCATGAAACCACCTTACATGGCTGGTAGCCCAAGAAGAATTCATTATGTCTTTTGGGTTGTTGCAAGGTTAATAACGGTGATGATGGTGGCAGCAAACACCTCTGAAATGTCAGTAAACTTCTACCAGACTACATGGCCCAACCACTCCGAAAATATTCATCTTCACCACCATGAGAATCTCAAGTTTTGCATGATAGTAGTCATTCAACATTCTTTTTCAAAACACCAAAGGTTAGGATATTTTATAGATGAAGCACTTTACCAATTGTAGAGTTTCAGATGAGTGCTCATTTTACTAGGTGGAACTGTTTGAGGAGCTGGCCCGAATATTTAGTGAAGACAACAATCAGTGGGCACAACGAGAGTTGCTGATGCGTGAGGGTACAGCCAAATTTGCAGACACGGTGGGAGAAAATGATCGCCAGCTTCAAAAGGTTTTTCAGCGACAGTTAAACAATAGTGGGGTGAGCCATTGTTCCATTCTCTCATGTAATTTTACACCTTTGTAAATCTGGTTTAGTTTAGGTAAAGTTGTTTGACACGTATTCTGAGGGAAAGTCCCTTCAGAAAATTCTTTTGCATCTCGATCCAGTCCTGTTCCAATTGCGTACTGTTAAAGAAATATTATTAAACCAAAATTTCCATGGTTAATCCACAAAGTGAATAATCTGCCCACAAATAATGAGTCTATGGTACTAGCTGAAGCACCCTTTTTCCAAGGCTGTTGTTAAAACAAGCTGTACTGATATAATGAAATTGCTTGTTTCTTATGTCACATACTTAATAAATTGTTAATTAATGCTTGTAATTACAAGTCTGTTATATTATCTTCTACATACATCTGTAATAAAACTGCATGAACAGTGTGAACTACACAGGGCACTACTTTAACCGATTATGGAAGTTAGTGAACTGAAAGAAATTAACATCAAATTATTCTTGTGTATTATTAAATTGACCATGATAATAAACACATGCATTAATTCTTAGATGGTTGCCTAGTGATAAAACAGCAGTGAACATAGATTGTTTTTATAATAATAATAATTTATTTACATTCCATGGATCCATAAGAAAAGAATGTGGAAAAAGTCATAGTAATAAAAATAATAATAATAATACAATACATATTATAAAGTACAATTCGCACTATTATATAAATTTCACATAATACAAAACAAAGTATTCACCCAGAGAAATGATAAGCTACAAATAGATCTACCCATTACACAGAAGAAAAATGTATCACTTATTTGTAAACAACATAAATTAATTGACAGAGTAAAAGGAGTGTGTAATTAAGTATACTGTACATTGTGTGGTCTGGCAACTACCCAGAGAATAATTTTATGTTGCTGTGTTATTTTGTGTACTTGAATGTACACGTGTGCATGCATGCATATGTGTGCCTGTTGTGCTCGTACATGAATGTTTGTGCCTATATACAGATTTTGCATGTAAAATTAATCTTTGTCAGTAAAATATACACTTCTGTGAAAAGGAGAGACTGAAAATTTTAGTAACTTGATTTTTATGTGCATTGCAGAACATCAGCCATGGTACAATTCCTTATTTGGGAACATTCCTCACAGACCTGACAATGATTGACACGGCTATTCCCGACACTGTCATGGATGGCCTTATAAACTTTGATAAGAGAAGGAAAGAATTTGAAGTATTAGCACAGGTAAGCTCTTTGGGAGAGTGGATGTGAACTCCCTCACCTCTGAAGTTTCTGGAATGACTTAAAAATTAGTAATTTTCTCAACAATGTCAGTCAGAAGAGGCAGATTTTGTTATGAAAGTACTAAAAGTTTGTATTCAGTTTTTTATTGTGAATGTATTGGCCCATCAGTGGGTATTATTCAGGCTTGTTCTAATTTCATGTTTGTTATGATCCAGTGCAGCTAGTTTTCCTGTATTTTAAAGAAGAAACTTATGCATTATGTTCTGCTTTTCTGTGATGCAAGTATGAGTTTATGTTTTTATGCAGGCATAAGCACACTTCCATAAAAATACAAGATGTAAAGTAGCATCAAGCCCAGGAAATGTTTGAAGAACTCCAACTTAGATTATACATTCTTTCCAACCATATTATTTGTGATTTTATGAACCTCATTGACCATAATGTTTATTTATTGCTGTTGATTTTTATCTTCTGGATTGTGATGCCATGTAGTCTTGTAGATGGTTACCATTATTTTGGAGGAATATATGACATCCATTTTAGGGTTAAAGTTGTTTACTGCTGATGCAAATTTTGTAACAGGATAATCAAAATGTGTTTCTCCTTCATGTTCTAAGTTGTTTGATGTCACTGTTTAAATCTTGCATCTCTGCATCAACAGCCTGTCCTGTAATATTCAAATCTAAAATGAATATTTTTATGTACTGAATTACACCATCTTCAGTTATGTTTTTAATAACATATTCTTCAGTTATAAGCTGTTTATAAATAGACTACTACATTTTATTTACCAAGAGCAAGAAAATAAATTAAATCAGTAATCAATTTTATTACATTGCATATACAAATTTATTATTGCAGATCTATTTAGACTTGTATCTACTTAAAGTTATTTAAAACAAAAGTTTCATATTGTAATGAGCTCTGTGATATTCCTGTTGCAGATTAAGCTTCTGCAGGGGGCTGCAAATGCATATAACTTACCTGATGACCCAGCATTTGACCGCTGGTTTGACTCCATTCTTGTGCTTGATGACCGTGAAGCATATGAACTCTCATGTATGATAGAGGCACCTGTACCAGGTCAGGGGCAAGGCAGTGCTGGCACCACTAGGGAGCTGAGACACAAGAGGCGAGCAGGGTCAGTTTTGCTTAAATACTGATTGGAGTATGGAGGGCAGTTGTGAATATGTTGAAGAAGTAATCACAGATAGCTAAAAAGTAGTGGGTTGAGTTACCTACAGACTCTCACTGTATTCATTAACACAATAAAAATTATCACAAATGGTTTTGGACATGGCTGGATCTTTTGCACAACTGATGCTGTGGACTTTTCTTTTTGCCACACCAGCGCTAAGGCTCACCTAGCTTCCTATGCAATGGGCACTGGAAGCTCTTACTTCAAGACATGAAGAATGCTTACACTTATCTCCACACATCCATACATCTCAAGGGTCTTGTTAAGCACAAGGAGAACTTGTGTTATTAATGTAGGGATTACTTCTTGTCTGGGAATTAGTTTATACAGTATGTAAATGGGAATATCTGCATTACAGGTTGGGTCACCGTAAGAATGACTCTATTGCAAGCACATCGAGCAGCTCTAGCAGTCAGTTTTATTGTGACCTCGACAGCCTCCCCTCCTCACCACACAACTCGCTGGACAGAAAGGTGAGTATCATGGTGGAGCAATAAAATACTGCTTCATTACTATGTGCAGTACGTGTTGTTGTTTTACTTACACACTTGGAAATAGGTGTGACATCTAGCAAAATGTGGAAATTGCACTTAATATTGAATTTCTAGCATATTTTGCATCTTTTATATGAAATAAATTTCTGGTATTGTGCATGTGTCAATTCATCTCTTCAGTCATCTGTATGCTCTTGATTAACAATGTTTTAACATCTGGATAGATATTTATGAAACAATGTAAGAAAGTCATGCCATTGGAGGCTGTCCCTCTTTGTATCTTTTGATTTCATACTAGTAACTGCAACGTGATGACAGCAAATCATGTCCGAGAAGCACATGCAACATACCTTAAAGTAAATTGTGTGTACAGTGTAAAGTAAACATTATGATGGCTGAGATTTGAGGTTCTTGCAGTGGCAAGTATGAAGAAAACTGCTTCTGGGCTGTTGTGCCTTTTAGTCTGGTATAATTTTACTCACATTTAAGAATGTGCTTACCACCTCCATCATCAAAGTGAGATTACCCTCACGATGGAGACAGCAGACACCTCCAAAATGCCAGTAACCTTCTACCAGTCTACATGGTACAACAACTCAGAAGACATTCAACTTCATCGTTACAGCTGTGCAAGGTGGACGTGAATGGAACTGGCTCAAGATCATGTCCAGTAGCCAGCCTTGTTATTACATCTTCCAATTCTGTTAACAGAGAGTTAATTGACTGATTTTTTCTTTCTTAAGTTGGACACAAATAGGATGTGCATTGATCATTACTGGAGTGTGCAGTTCTCCTTACATGTTTGTTTACCTCTGTCTTGCAGGCATCTCCATCACAAATGTCATCATCTTCAAGTAGTTCGTCACTTCCATCTTTAGATGCATCAATGAGCAGCAGCAATACTAACACATCTGCGGCTAACAGCACTGCCAGTCGGACATTAACTGTGCCTGGACAGTCACCAGCGTCAAAACCTCAACACGACTTCTACATTATTCGTGTTACAGTTGAGACAAGCTCTGTTGAGACAGATGGTGAGTGCATTTACCACCCTCTTACTTTGTGATGCCTTTACAAGGCTCCTTTTCATTGCATTACGGTGCAGAACTGTTGAGCATGTGCAACTAATATAGCTATACGTTGGGAAGTGATTATACAGTTGTTGTGATTAATTATTTGGAAATTAGAGCTGTATAACTGAAATATAAATATTTGTTGTCATAAAATTAAAAACTTAACAATGATTGGTTACAACCATTACAAGTAATATTTCACCCTACATTAAACGGTAATGGTAGGATATATTGATATTTTCAGACTCCACCATAAAATTTTGAAAGGACCCCTGTACCCATTGTAGAGGAGGCTGGGTGGGACCCAGAGCCAGTCTGGACGCAGAGGCTAAAGGAAAAATCCTCTGCCCCTGTCGGGGATTGAACCCCGGTCATCCAGCCCGTAGCTAGTCACTATACTGACTGAGCTATCCCGGCTCATTTATGGCAT